GACGCACCCGGAGGGAGTGCAGGCAGGGAGGCGCGGAGAGAAGAGAGGGGGGCAGGGGGAGGGAGACGGAGAGGAGGGAGGCGACGGGAGAGAAACAGCCAGAGATGGAGGGCAGATGAAGCAGAGCCGGAGTGGCCAGGCTCAGGCGCTCCTGGAGAGAGCGAGAGGGCACTGCAGATGCCGAGGGAGGTCTCAGGCCAGGGGTCAGCCCCAGGTACCGGAAAACACAGGTGGGGCCAGGGTAGCAGCAGGTAAGGCCTAGGCCAGGAGGGGGCAGGGACTGAGGTCAGGGGACTGAGGTCAGGGCACTGAGGTCAGGGACTGAGCCCTGGCCTGGCCCTCCACGTGGTTGGTGCCCGACGCACTAACAAGCCTCTGTTCTGCCTCCTCAGTGTGGCCTCTGCGGAATGGGTCCTTTCCCCGAGACCCTGGAATCTGCTTGCTTCCAGGCCCCTGTGCCTGGGTGCCTGCCACGTGGCCTCACCCTGGCGTGCCCCCAGTCCGGCCCCATGGGACAGACTGAAAATGGTGTGTCCAGGGTCCCCTCAGTTCGCCAGAGTGACCTGAGGCCTGAGGCGATCCACCTCCACCACCGTCCCTCCGAGGCTTCTGGAAAGGACTGTTTTCACCCTGGGCCTCTCTCCATGCAGGGAGCACCCAGGTCTGTTCCCAGAGCCCACTGGTGCCTCCTGGGCTGCCCTGGTGTGCACGACGGGCAGGAGCCCCCAGGGAAGCAGAGTCCCAGGCCACCGATGGGGGACCTCTGAGGGTCCTGGGCAGACCAGGGCAATGGCCAAAATGGGTTTTCAGGGGAGGGACGGGGAAGCGCTGTGTTGTGTGAAAACCAAGTCTACAGGCCTCTCCGCCGTTGGTACCTCTCCCCGTGGCCTCATCTGCCATCGTCCGGCCACCGCTCCTGTCTTATTCTTCTTAGTGACTGCAGGGTCTTTAGAAATGTGTGTTGAGTGGGTAAGAGCAGAGGCCTAGTGCCCAGCTCCTTGCACGGGGGCAGTGGCTGAGAGAGCCCTCAGAGATGGGACCCTCAGAGGTCAGGGGGGAAAGGGGCCCAGCACAGTGGGGGGGGGGGGGGGGGGCAAGCAGGTCTCCCGTGCTCAGGGAGAGGTCTCTGAGGGAGGGACAGGCTGTCCCATTGGGCTGTGAGGACGGGGGACCTGCCCCACAGGACCAAGGTCTGCACCCACAGACGGACGGACTCCTGGCCCTTTCAGGCAGGGAGGGGCTCACAGATGACTCCGGGCACCTCCAAGTGCTGCTGATACTATCACGCAGGAGCCAGGAATTAAAAATAAACTCCTGGCAAGAAACGGAGACCCACCCCACCCCCCGCCCAGCTGCCCTCTATATTTAATGCGTCCCTCCCGCCTGAAGGTTAGCAGGGGTCTGGGAGACATCGGGATTGGCTGAAGCTGGGATGGGCCAAACCAAGGCTGAGGGAGGCCCAGGTCCATGGAGACGCCCACCCCCATTTCCCCAGAGGGACCACCAGCGCCCAG